TCATAAGTGCACTAGGAGGGGATGGCAAGGAGGAAAATAAATGGATTAGTTGTGAGATTGCAAGATTTTTAACAATTGTAACTTTACCCAAAAGAGATAGTGGTCTACAGCCCCATGAAGCAAACAAGGAAGAAATTTTTCTCAATTTATCTTCATAATTTAAGACCACCATGTTTTCTAAATTAAGGTCGAAGATCAGTCCCAATAATTCAAAATTATTTTCTAACCATATTAAATTAAATTTATCCACTTTGTTGGTTGAGCCCCTAACTTGTTATTTTATTAATGAACAAGATACAATTAATTAAAAGGAATCTTAGTCTTTACAGAATTTGTGACAAACGAGGGACATAATTTATTTAATTAAATTGCACTACAATCCACTGTGCGTGTAGATGGTGATAGATAATTTCCAGGTCATAGGTCATCTGCTGATTTGACAATGTCTCTAGCAATAGTATTCTCTTGAGTCAATGAACTATTCCAAACCAACCTGTTATCAGCCGTTCTGACTGAGTAAAAAAATGTACTACTGAAGGTTCTGGCCAAATTGATGTTATCTTCTCTTCTCCGCGATTTCATTATAATTAACTATTATAGTATTGCAGTGTTCTCCCCAGGAATTTAAACCACTGTGGCGGCCTAATTTGCATATCATTTACATAATAATAGAAATTGACCAAAGCACATTTACACCCACACAATAAACAACATATTTTCAAAAACAAAGTGGCAGATATTTATTTGCTTTACACAGTGTTATAAACACTTTTATTTTGGGCATTTTTGTATTATTAATGAGCTCCGTCACAGTGCAAATTTTTTTTTTTTTTGAGTCAAAAAATTACGTTTCACAACTTAGAAGAGTTTGAATTTAAAAATGAAACATTCTCGATATGCAAATGCTGCAGACTAAAAAGAAACAAATAAATTGTAAAAGGTTAAATGAAACTCAACTGAAACGTTTCAGCCAGGATTATGTTCAAGACTTTCATGACCACATAATTATTTGGCGGATTGCTGGTTATTATTCCGACCATCAGCTTCTACAACGTTTACATTTACAGTAAATGAACGAAGAAATAACACTTCCAAACAATCATCAAAGTTACGACGTGACATAACTTACTTCGCGATGTTATACACCGGTTATACCAATAATTTCTCTTACTCAGTCATGATGCCATGCAAAAATTAAATACTTTTATATGAAAAAAACGTAAAATTTGAACTAGTTTTATCGAGAGAAATTATTTTTGATCACTCGATCACTTTGTGAAAAACACAGACCCGCCATGATAGCTGAGACGCGTTAGTTGACCCATGGAGCTAAAAAAAGACCGCATGTGTCCTTTGACCCGGTGGGTCAAAAACGCCATTAACCAATCAGAATGCCGCATGGTAATGCCGGTAGAACCCGAAGTTTTCCGAATGATCGTGATCATAAAAAATTACATTGCGGAAGTAAAGCGATGTCGTAGCACGATGTGTTGGTATGGATTTCAGATGTAAACTGCATGATGGTTTTCGAAAAAGGTGATTAGCAATTTTTGAAAGGTAAAAGAAGTCTTGAAAGAAGAATGTTCACGATGATAACAGTTCAAATGTATTTTACCCAATCACGCAATAAACACGTTTTTGCTAATTTTACAAAATTGACTTGTATTGTTTAAAGCCGATACCACGTCGCACGACTATGTCTATTGTTTACAAATTATTATCCACGACTGGCAGGATGCTTGTCAGTCGGTACGTAAGTATAATAACAATATGACAATAGTCGGACGCGTTTCCGTGGTGGTCGCTAATTTTGAGTGCCGGTCGGGCCAACCAGCGTGACGAGATCCCCAATGAAAAAAGCACTGTGGCGGTCTTGCTAATCACCGTGGCGGTGTCAGACCGGTGTGGCGGCAAATCGAAGCACTGTGGCGGGACCGCCACGCTGTTTACATCCTGGGGAGAACACTGATAAGATGTTGATTTTTTTGGTTATTACTAAAATGACAACTTGCTAACAGACTTTCTGAGTTGTATGAAATTAGTGACCACCAAAACTTTCAGCTTTCATCTTCAACCCACTGTAAAAGGGAAATGTGGCATAATCGTTGGTGGAGAAGTTCATCTAATTATAAATTTGTAGTTTTTTTCATCAAAAGGCTGCAAAAACCATACGTAATTTTTGTTTAAATTTACAGTATGATATCATTCACAAATTGATGAGGTCACTGTATCCCATTGTTTTGCCTATCTAGGTATTGGTCTGTTAGGTGCTTATGCTGACAGTGGTAGTGACAGTGATGATGGGGATGATAATAATGATGATAACCCGACTACTCAGCATACACTAGTAGCATCTACTTCTACAATACAGAACCAATCTCAAGTGTCATCATCCTCTACATCTGCTCCTCAAACTAAGAAACCTGATTTAGATGTGAAAGTAGCTGATTTTCTAGCAGTAAGTAACAATAACTTTTACATTCTCTTGTCATCCCCATCATCAATGTGTTCTAATAATATAAACAATTTATATCTGATCATTTTTCAACTGAATCGGTTTACAATCTTCAATGTTGTTGTTTCTCACATGTGTATTTCATCATTGCAGGAAATTGATGCACTAGAAACTCCTCAGGATAGTGGTGAAGAGGATTACAAAGAAGTTAGCAATAATTCACAACCAGACAATGTTGCTGTTGATTCTACTACCACGAATGGCATCACTGATCCAGGTGAAACTTTTAGGATTTGTGTACTGTAAAATACTTTATTTTAGCTGGAATTAATTTTTGCGGAAAAGACTTTTTAGGTGTTGTATAGAATTGATTTTCACTGATTTTTGATGAGTTGAATGTAGAATGCTGGATTTTATTTTCAATGAAACATTCCTTCAGCAAAATAGCGACAATTAATTCCAAGCAAAAATAAAATACTTTACAGTATTTTGTTTGACAATGGATCCTTCAATTTTAAAACTGAAAAATCATTTTTCTTGCTGCCAGCATGCAAATAAAGCAATTTGTATGAATTGGTTATATAGGGTTTCCTTTCAAAGCTGGTGGCCAACTAAATTGTTCTGTGCATCTAATAATTTTGTAACCTTTTATTTATTGTAGACAACTATTCATTATTTGCCCCAACTCCTTATAAAAAACCTGATGAATTAATTTTTTAACTAATATGATTACAGTAGTTGGGGAATGGCAAGAGGTATGCGATGCTAACACGAATTGCGTATATTACTGGAACACTGTCACTAATGAAGTTACATGGGAAACTCCTGAAAATTACAAATCCAATGTATCAAGCCAGCAAATTGGAGAAGAACCAAAACCAGAGCCGGAGCCGGAACCAGCTTATATTGGTCCACAATTACCTATTATTGGACCAATTATGCCTGAAGAAAAGGAAGAAAGGTGTGTGAGATATTCACTTAATCTTCCATATTAAAACAAGCTGTGGCACCAAACCACATAGACATAGTCTGAAACAGGGATTGTGTTTTGGTTTTCATCCATCCATTCGTCGAGCCGGCATCATTTCTTGGATATCATCTCTGGCCAATTCTATTGAGTTTTGTTATTGATGTATGTCATTTTGTCTCACAATTTGATTTCTAACTGTTTCTCAGATACACTTTCACAGGTTTTGTACAAAGGAAAGACATAATTGGTTGCATGATCCTCCCATGTATTTTGGCATTCCAATAAAATTTAACAATCTGGTGGTAATTTTCATCCAAAAAAACTATAACCATGAAATTTCAACATGTCATCAGTTGTTTCTCAAGCATGCCTGGACAAAATTGGATCAAACTTGGCATGAAATTCATACATAATAGGTCACTAATGTACATCGATTAGTTTTTTGATTTGATTCAAATTGGCCAACTGGTGGCCATGTTGGTTTTATTTTGCATGTGTCTTTAAACATTTTTAGACATGCTTTGACAGATTTTGTTCAAGCAAATTAGGTACAAAGACGACATAATAGTATACATATGCATGTTGATTGTTTTTAATTTTTTTGACAACTTCTGACTATACCACATGGTTAAAACCATTAGGAGACATTGTGTTTACTGTATGCTAAATAATTTAAACGTCTTATTTTGATCATAGATTCACCTCTGTCATTTACATAAGTGTATCTATGAGATTTTTACTCGATGAGTTTGTAAAATTATTGATTACATCTTTTAATCTGTCTGTTCAATTACAGCTCTGATAGTTTCATGTATGGACCCAGTATAGTGCCGTCCAGCACCGCCATAGAGGATGACTCGCAAGACACATATGAACCTTTGCCACCAGGCGTTGATGACATTTCCCTCAACACAGGGTCAAATTTGCAAACATATTCTTCACCACCACCATCACCGGATTATGACATTGATTTACCTGTTTTTGGTAAAACTAAACTGGAGGAGAAGCCTGAAAACTTACCTATTTTTGGTCCAATTCCACCATTCAGTGTTGAAAAAGAACCAATAGAACCTGTTAGCGTAGTTAGCGTTGATGATCTACTGAGTAAAAGAGCCAAATTCAAACTACAAATGCAAAAGTTTATAAGAGGAGAAAATTTACCTGCCTCTGGAAACGAACCAGACAATGTATCGAGTGCGTCTGTTGCAGTCACTGCTCCTACTGTTGTTAGCAGTAGTGAAATATCACAAAAAACTATTGTGACAAGCTCAAGCTCTGTACCACTAAGTGATAATGCTGACATTGCACCTGATGATGAAGAATTTGACATAGATCAGCAGTTGGACTTGGCTTTTGAAAGGAAAATTGTGAGTATTCACATTTTGAGTAGTGCTCTTACATGTGTTTTATGATTGTAGCTTAAAATACAAGATTTAAATCCAAGAACTGCAGTTGTCAAATATATGATGGAATGTGTATAATGTGTATTCCCAATGCATGTATATTATTATTTGCAGGGTGAAGTACCCGATGCAGTGTGTCACCAGAGGAAAATAGGATTAGCAACCTCTACAACAGTAGCAGTAGCAAAACCACATAGTTCTGGTGATGACAATAATGGTAATGCCCAGAAAACACCAATATTATTGCTCCTTTAAAAATTCAGCTATGCGTGAAATTGTGATTACAGTATGACTATTATGCAACCTGTTTCTGCATTTTTCTACTGCACATTCATTGCATTGGGGACGTCTATTGAACGTACAGGGGTCACACATTTTACATACCTGTAGTTGCCTATTGATCATGTTTTAGTCTAGCATCTATTTCTTGTCCATCATGCTTATATTGCATAAATTAGCTAAGGCATTTCAATTCATGCGCTACTTATCTGCTATAATTGCCATTGTATGCAAGACCTTTTCTTCAAAAAGAAGATCTCGGACAAAATCAACTTAATATGGCTGGGCCAGCCTATTTGTTATCCAGTGTAGTATGGTAAAAAGTGATGTGAGAAATATATGTTGTGAATGTAATAATTGCACATGATTTTCAAAGTATTTTTGTTTGCTAAAAACTAGTGACTTTTATAATCAATTACTGAATACCTGGTTCAATTGGTTTTATGTGTGACACACAGCATGAGAGTGCACAATAATGGCACATGTTCATGTCAGTTCATTTAGGTTTTCCAATGTCAATGTATCCTTGTTCAAGCTTTGCAGAATTAATAACTTGTTTAGTGACTATGTCATAAACGATTTGCTAATTAATATGTGCATATACACGGCATGAAGCTGGCCATTTAGGCATGTAAGAAAACTAAATCTTAATCTGAATATTTGCAGATTCAGATGTGCCTACAGTACCATTTAAACGTCAGAAAATAGCCAAGCTGTTGCAGAATGCGAAGAAAGATATTGGTACACAGTGCGATACAACTGAGTTAGAAAAGTTAGCTGAAGAAGAGGAAAAACTTAGAAACAAACAGAAAAACAAGGAAGAAGCAGAGTTAAAGGTAATTTATTGTTGAAACAGTTTTAAGGCTGCTTCAGAATTAATCAGTATATGGTTCCGGTATATCTAATTATTTAGGTGTAGCCTCTCATAGTCTTAATGTCTTTTGTTTTGTTACAGGCTGAGATAGCAGAATTTTCATCGTTAATCACTGGTAAATTGGAATTCCTGGATATAAAGAAGAGTATGATGACAAAGTTTCAAATAATGTTATTAGAAGTAGAGGTGAGTGTAGTCTGATATATACCAATTATATAACCTTATAATACAAACTTCTTATGTTTAATATATTTGCAATTGACCCTTTGAACACCATAATTCTTTCCACCAAAAATTAGGTTCAATATTCTGCATTTCTAACTATGTGAACATAATTCCCCATGGCTACATGTTTTCAAAATTTGGAAAACTTATGCCTGTTTTTGAAAGGAGACAACATTTTAGCATTCAAATGTTAATAATAATCTGGAAATTGGTCATTGCAGAACTCATGCATTCTGTTGTTCAACTGTTAAAAATCAACATGTTACTGTTTTTTTCTGACTCTTTCGTTGTCTTCTACCTGTAGACTCGGATATTAGACTGGCGAGAAGGCGCGCTGGACACTAAATATTTAATTCGTAAATTACAAGACGCTGATTGGGAATTACAACAGTATGAACTGAGTTCTCAACCACGTGGGTGGTCTTGTCATTGGGACAGGTACGGTCATTTTTATCTACTTTACTTGCTTTATTGTTACATGACCGTACATTTACCTAATGACAATCATAGATTGTTTCCCATTGTAACGCGATAATGAACTTGACATGGTAGTTAAATCTTCATTGGAATTATGACATTTGAAAGCAGAGTGTAATATGAACATGAAAAGCAAGACTGGAAACCGCTTACTTGGCTTCACCAAAATTGTCACCTTGGTATTTGGCATGACGTCAGCTTTCTTTGGGAAATCAGTGTTTGAAAAATTGACACTGGAAAATTGAAACTTGAAAGCCGAAAATCACTTTAAGTCCTAAAATAAACTAGAATGCAATCCCGAAGAGTGTGTTGTACCTGTACATGTTTGGATCTTTCCAATATCATATATGCCGAGTGAAGAGTTATATGAAGGTGGTGCCTGGAATACTGGAATATGGTGAAAGAAGACGGATCTGGTGCGGTTAGTGAAAACTCTTTTACGTGTGGTTTATTTTTCTCAATATTATGCATTTTGTACACATTGCATGTTTGATCTGGTTATTTCAGATATTGCTTTTCAGGAGGGAGATGTTTTAATGAATAAAGACAGTGTAAAAATAACAACATAATGATAATCAAACAAATCTGATAGTTAATTTTGATAACTTTGAAAGCCAGTTACATAAAGAAAGATTTATAGCTGAGCAGAGTTGTTCGACAATAAATTTGAATAACAAAGGATAGTACCGATATTGTCATTTTTGTCACTGTCTTATTTCAATGTGTAAACCCCAAGGCATATCAAATGTTTAGATTCTGGGCACAGTTCAGAATGGTAATTGATTCCCTATATTGCCTTACATCATGTGTCAGAGTGCACATGATACTAGAATACCTGGTAGACATGGTGTAATGTTACATGTAGTGACATTGTAGTTTACCATCATGGATGTCTTACTTTTTATTCATGGCAATCCATATGAAATATTTTTACTTGAGTATTTTTTTTTTACAGTAAACACACCCTACGGTCTTCTGTTGAAGTGAAAAATAGTTAACACTTCTGTGACCAAAATTTTGCCTTTGATTCTTATTTTTATATTTCAGAGCAACTTGTTCCAAAGAACAAGAAACACAACCCATTCTTGTGTTCTACTAACTTGCTTCACCACTGTTGTCATACTTGAAGGCTAAATATTAAAGGCTTTAAGTTGACAATTTTGAAGTAAAGAAGCTAATACTCTGTTGTCTGTTTTCTTTCCTATCATTGGACTATAGGATACACAAGCAGTATTATTACACCAACAATTCAACAGGAGAGAGTCAGTGGGAATTTCCAACTGAGGTTCTAGAGAAAGAAAAAGAAAAGGGTGAAAGCACATCCCTAGTCCCAGAATATCATGAAGATAATGAAAAAGGAATGCAGAATGCTATGGCTGCAAGTGCAGCTAGTACCACATTGTTTACACCTATAGGTATTATAAATTATTAAATATTCAAATCCATTATAATCATCATTATACAAGTTGTCTATTCAATGAGTTTGTCTGGGTTAAGTTATTTCATTGTTAAGCATATAGTCATGAATAATGTCACATTGTGATCCGATTCATTGATTTTTTTTTCTAGAACCCACAATACCTACATCAGTGATGCTTCCTTTACCAGTATCACCATCAGGTGATAGTTCAAGTCCGTTGCCACCATTACCACCGGTTTTAGAACCTCCGCCACCACCTCCCCCACCTGAAACACCACCTCCACTTCCAGATTCCCCTGAAGACGGTGAAATTCTGGATGTTGATATGGATATATGTGATGCTAATGTTGATGTGTCAACCCCACCATTACCTCCATCATCATCGCCGCCACCACCACCTCCTCCGATGGATTCACCCCCTCCACCACCACCAGGGCTTTCACCACCACGGCATGATATTATTGCCCAAGTTCTTCCGGTGGCTAGACCAGCAGTTCAAGTACCCCCTGCGCCTATTATGGATCCAGTAGAAACAGCTACTGTTATTGGACAGCCACAGATGTTATATACGGGTATTGAGAGTACAATTGCAGCTGGGACAGTAGCCAGCAGTAAACCTGTTATGATTATCAGTGATCCAGTGATAGCATCAACAGTACCAATGGTACCTAAACAACCAACCACAAATGCTCCTACTGCTAAAGTGAAAAAAGTGAAACGGGTATGTAAATGATTCATGTTGACGTGTTGTACAATAGTGTAGTTTTTGTTTGTTTAATTGTGTATGTATTTTCTTGTACATCCAATGTTTTGACAAATGCCTTTCAAGTTAATATTTAAGCTTATTTTCTAAATACCATATTTGCTTTATTAGTATATTTGCTATATTTGCTATATTAATCTCACTTGATTGGCATGCTGCCAAGTGTTGAAAATGTGGGGTCCTGTCAATAACAAATTCACCATGCAACGTTTAAATATCACTAGAATTTATTATAGGTTGCTCTTGTTTCAAGGTATAAAATGGAAGTTATTCTACATGGTGTGCATTTTTATAGTTCCTAAAGACTGACGTTTTTACTTATAAAAATATTAGTAGATGTTGATGTTTATTAACATTAATGTTTCAGATGAAAAAGAGTGCAATAAAAAAGAAAAAAGAACTTCCAGCGCTTGTACAAAAGTGGCAACAAATAAAACAAGAAGTTGAAAAAGAGGAGGAACAAAGTTCGTCATCAGAAGAAGATAAAACTGTAGTAGCACAACGACAGATAGCAGAGTGGAAAAAATCTCAGATTCAAAGGTAGTCAAGAATTTTGGGAATAACAATAATTAAGTAAATAATATGAGTGTGGTTTGTGGCAATCTCTTTACTAGTAACAAATCAAAGTCCAATTTCCCAAATAGATGCTTTTTGACAAGAGAGAATGAATTGCCATGAATGAATGTCTGTACAACATTGCCTTTGATCATTAGTTTGATTGGTTGGTTATGACGTGCGATGGACAGGAAGATATAGAATCTCAGATCCTGTCAGAAATCAAGCCAGTGCAGCCTTTGACATCATCAGTACTTCCTTGTTGGATTCATTGATAAACATAGTTTGTACTCTTTATGGTGTATGTAGTACACACCCCGACCAACTATACATTCCAAGTATTGAAAACACAGAGTTTAGGACATTAAAGTGTGAATATTTCTAACCATTTATTGTTGCAGTGTGATTTGAAGTATTAATATGCAACTCGATCTAACTTTAACTATATTTTATTTTTCAGTGGAACTGCAAATTATAATCCCAACTTTCAACAAATTCAAGGCAACTGGAGAGAGAGACTCAAACGAAAGAAACCATCTGAAAACACATAATGTTATTTTTGTACTATTTTTGAACAAATTTCCATTTTATACGTCATTTTACAAAATATCTCATAACTTGTCTATGAAGATCATTGTTTTTGTTTATCAATAACTATTTAGTGAGGAGTAGCATACCATACCATATAGAATAAATTCTTTATAGCTTTTTACACCAAGCTGCCAAGCATGTCTTGTAGTATTTACACACATTAAAACTAGTTGCTGGATTTTTTAAAGGTTATTTATGTTTCATATTTAAAATTGAACCACAGACAGCTGAATTTTCATATTTTGTATCTTTTTTATGTTGTCTTGTTAAATTCATTTTAATCAGTTATAAGGTATAACATAACAGTAATGAATTCCCTGCTGTTTTATTTTGTATGAAGTTTTGAACTGTGTGCAAGTTCATTCCAAGCACAGCATTAAAGGTATACACTCAACTCTCTTGGGGAATCAATATTGTTATCATATACCATTCATTCATGTTGGGTCTTACTTGGTGTTCCCATTGGGTAGATTTGAAAAAATGTTTTGATTTCATCTCAAAAACCATGTTGTTAAATCTGGTGCATTTAAAATGCAAAATATGTAAAATTAAAAGGAATGCTTTTCAAATTGTCCTTTTCATTAAGAAAATAGTCCGAAAAATAAGGCTTAGAGGGAACACTTGTGCTACTGCCCAATTTCCATCAGTTCCAGCATTTGTATGCGAAAAAAGTTTACACAGATGTCACTCTACACAGATGACTTACTTGACCCATTTTAAAATATAATGTGAAGTTGACACATTCTTGTGCTTTATATCAGATTTTGTTTTCTCATTTAACAGTTCACAATTGCCGCTACCTTAGGATATAAAATTCACACATTTATTCAAGATCTTCTCTGACAGTATTGCATATAGAAATCAAATTCTTGAAGCTCTTTGCATGGCAGTTTGTAAAGCAGGTCCCGATTGCTTGTGCTTAAATAACACGCATTTCTTTTTAGTAAGAACATGGCTTTAACTATTTTTTGTACCTTATAGATTATAATGGGAGTAGAACATTCAATCTGGAATGTTTTCTCCTTAACATTTTCTGAGAGGTTTTTTTTATTTGTGTGTTTACCGATATTATCGAAAGTGATGTGAAAATAAGTTCCAAGCAACTTGAAATATCACTATTTATTTCACTTGTGTCTCTTTGTACTTCAAACTGTGTAATATGTATCACAAATGAGCCATGGCGTTTTTAGCGTGGCTGGAATGAGCATTATTAAAACTTTGCAAATCAATCTATTTAATGGTGAAAATGCATCAAAATCAAGTATCTCTGCCATTCCGATCTCGGTCATGAATAAACAGATATTCAGACTTGGCACATATATCGAGCATAATAGGAACTTGATGTACGTCATTTTGTATTTAGTTCCTGTGTGTTCAAAGCAATGAGTTGTGCGTGTCTGTGTAGGCAAAATCTCAAAAACATTAAAGCAGATTTGGATCAAATGTTGTCTAACGGATTTCGATCAAATTTGCTATTTATTGGTGCTGAACATCTGCTGGCTGATCTAAACCGCTAATGCTATTGCACTTTTAGTGACTGTTGGAATTTTCAGTCCTTAGATACAATTTTATAAAACAACAATGATTGCATATATTCTGTATTCACACAAGAACTTTGCAGAGGTTTAACTTTGATTCACATTGAATTCAAAATGGCCAACTGACGAACATTTTGTTTTTAAAAAAAACGCTGCTCCCGATTGCAATGAGATTTTACAACTGCATTGCAGTCACTTCTTGTGTGCGTTTATGTTTTCTATTTTTCCATGTAAGGTGGTTTCAATTCTCAGACTGGTTTATTTAACAATAAATAAAGCCCATTTTGTATTAATTCATATCTGGTAAACAAAGACTTGTAGTGGGACGTTCAGTTATCCTGTATGTACATGTCAATAAAGCAGCAGCAGCTGTAACAATAGATTTTTTTTCTCTAACTTGCATTTTTAATGAAACATTTTCTGTGTCATGAGTCCCAATTTGTAACGGCCACCGCCGAAATGTGGACACTGAAAGCATAGCTTGTGCGCTATCACTTTCAAGTCGAGAGATGGCCGCAGGGTTGTGTCCAGGTCTCCAGTTGTTGAGCAAACCTTGGGCATTACTGTACAAGATGGCAACTTACAAAAGGTCCTGGGAGAAATGTCAAATACGTCACTACCTAGAGACTAAGCCTCGCACTGGTGATTCTACGGTTTAATCACATGACCCATTTCAACAAAATGTCAACTTAGTTTTCACACCGCATTTTATGCAACATTTGCCTTGTGTAGGGTCACGTTGCTTAACAAAATATTTTGGTAAGATTTGGTCATTTTTGAATCACAGCTTATTCCCACTTTAATGAAACTATTATCTTAAAAAATATACAACACATGTCCAAAGTTTGCATGGGAGATGAATGTTTCCATTTGTAAGATGAACGGGCTGCTTTTGGCATAACTCATTGTTAGTATTATCTAAATAAATGTCTGCGAAGAAATGTAATACTGTGGAATACTTTATTTTCGCTGGAATTTTCGCTGAAAAAGCTTTTTGGGCGTTATGCTTGGAATTTATTTTCACTGATTTTTCATGAGTTTAATGTGAAATATAGGGGAAAAAAGTATATTCGCTGGATTTTATTTTCACGGAATCATCTCTTCAGCGAAAATAAAGTATTCTACAGTATGGCCTTCACCAAGGTGAGTTAAAATTTGCTTCAAAGCTGTGAATTTTGGTATTATTTTAGTGCACTTTGTATGATTGACCAGAAAACATTCTTCACTAGTGTTCTTCTTGTCTAGAGCCATTCTGAATTTTCCCAGTGTCAAACTCTTGTCATGGAAGTACCAGCAAGTTGTGCACTTCTATGTGGTTTTATTCGGGCATTGTTACATGCCAATGTCAGTACTCTGTGGTCAATTTAGGAATGTATTCATTTATTGGAAGAGTAAAATTACACAAAACATGTTCTGTTAAAAGAAATGGAATGTTCCATTTATAAACTAAAATTGTGCAAGTAGATCTTGTAACTCTTTATAGAATCATTAATCGCACCTTGAATATCTGCTTTTCTGTCTACATCTTTTACAGGTAGGTGTTTGAGCATGAATTTGGTTATTTCAACAAACATGGAATTGAATTGATAATTGCATGTCACAAACGGTATTACCAGTAATCTGCCTAATTTGTTTTTTTTTTAATAAAATGTTCAATCTTTAAATGCTGATGCAATAGGTAATGCAATTGGCTTGACTGAAATAATAGATGTAGTTTCATACACTTAGCTTCTGCATGCTGAAAATGTTCATAAACACTGTACAGGAGATGAAAGCTTAATGTGATATTTCATTTGTATTTTGCATCAGAAAACTATGTTCAATTCTATTGACATCGCAAAAAGTCCCAGCAAAGTTGATATAAAATGGCTTCAAACACTGAATTTGCAATTTGAAAAAAAAATACTTTAAAATCTGTATTAGAAGCCGCATCTTCTATTAAAATGGTACAATGCAACAGAGGGAATGCGTCTTCTATTAGAGCATCTATACATACGAGAAATGGTGAATTTTTTGTGGTTCTCAATTGTTCAAAAAGAATGAGTGTGACAGCTTCTAATACAGATTTTACGGTAGCCATTCAGATGACTTAACACGAGTATGCTGCCCTCTGGTGTTATCTGAAAGACTGGTAGTATACATTCAAATTTTACCCAGTACACATCACATGGGAGGGGGGGGGCAAGGGTTATTTTCGTTCAATGTAATTGCAATATTTTTTTGTTCGTACAACGTAAATTGAAAAAATAAATTCTATAATTCTGTAATCACAGGCTAGATGTACAACGTAATCAATCAAATATTTTTTTCGTACACTGTAAAAATGTCTCATTTTTCTCGGTACGTACAAGAATTTACATCCAAATTAAAAAAAGAAATGGAAAGAAGAATCCAGGGAAATTACATTTTCGAAACTGTAAAAAGACTAGATGACACAATTCACTGCAAAATTCAATTTTCACTGTAAACTGTAAAAATGTCTTTTTCCTTGTAAATTGTAAAAAGCACTTTTTATTTCCCATAAAATTGTACCAGCTACCGCCTTTGCCCCCTTCCACATGGAATCCATATTGATTGAACAGAATGCACCACGAACACCATTAAAAGAATGTGTTGTGATGTTCACAATATTTCAGCTTCAAAGTCAACTTTTGTCATCCTTCACAAAATAGTTTTCATAATTTTTCTGAAAATCTGGACCAAAATTATGTAAAGAAAAATTATGGCACTCAAAAGGTAAAGTTGGTTATAATTCAAAATACAAATGTATGTAATTGATGAGATATAATTGGTATACAACATCAAATTTTGACTACTTTCTTCAGAGTCCACTCACTAAGTAATTGGTTAAGAACTCTGGATGGTAGTTATGCCATGATCTCATTTCCAGTAAACTTTGTTCAGTGGTGTGACCCTGTCTTAATAGCACAATTATTGTAGCTTTAGAGTAAAACATGACAAATCTCACTAGAAATCAGAAGAAAAAGTAAATCCAGTTTATTTAGCTATCAATGCATATCAAATCCAGCTTCTGTGTAACCACTATAGCAAGTACGCTGTAGCAATGTTTCTGACATAATTAGTAGAAATCTGCAAAATGCACACATTGTAAAAAAAACTTTGTATTTATATAAATCACATCGCATAGATATACATATGGGGAATTTTGATGTTTGGGTTTAAAACAAAGAATGTATATGGGACAGTGTATCAAAATATGAATCTGAACATACGATTGCATAGGCCCACCGAAATTACAGTCACTTTCGAGCTGCACTTTTTATATTACAGCTGGAAAGGGCGTCTATCACTGAATCCTACATAACATTTTTATTTCAAAATTACACTCAATCTCTTGTACATTATTTAGGCTCTTTCATTCTGAATCACTACTGCCAACTGAATGTAACACTTGAATGCCAATGTAAATTTGCTCGCTAACATGCTACAATTTTATTTGTGTTGCCAGTGTCAAAGTGAACTTTGAACATTACATACTCCCTAGGTCGGTTGCATTTAGCAAGTACACAAAGAATTGAGCATAGATTTTTAGATTGTCATGACAAAAAGTGTATTTGGTGACAAAATCAAAATTCAACACTAATAACTCGTGAATACCATATATTTTTAGCTCCACTGTCGACTTTGTCGAGCGGAGCTTATCATATGAGTGATTGTCCGTCGTCGTCTGTGTCAATGTTTTACTTTTTCAACTTCTTCTTGAAAACTACAAGCCTGAATGCTTTGATACTTGGTGTACATGTACCTTGGGTAGACCTCACAGATTTGTTCATTTCATGATATCTTCAATTCTCTAATTTTGGTGAATATTTTTGTCATTTTTGGTAAAAAGTGATATTTTCGACTTCTTGTTGAAAACCGCAAGTCCAGTTGCTTTGATATTACATATATAGGTATTACATGTGGACCTCTCTCAGATTTGTTCATTTTGTAATGATATCTTTAATTTTCTAATTTTGATGAATATTTTTGTAATTTTTGGTAAAAAGTGATATTCTCCACATCTTGTTGAAAACCGCAAGTCTGATTGTTTTGATACTATACATATTGTTCATTTTTTAATGATACTTTCTGTTTTTTATATGAAATGTGCATTCCTAACAGCGGAGCTATCTCAGCCGAGAGGCTGCTTGTTACTTTTGTTCATGTCCCAAGTTATTTCACAAGTATGTGTTAAAGCCTTTCAACAACACATAGAAGACAATACAACTTTTAAAATGATTGGTTTATTAATCAGTAATCTTGATGTCATCTACCGTATTTGCTATATTAGCAGCACATGCACTTGCATCAAGGACAGAGGTAAGTAACATGGTTCCTGCATAAACTACTAGTAAGTGCAATTGTTCGCTTCTAGTAGAGCAAATGTGGTTATCTTTCTTTGACCATCAGTTAAAACTGAAAGGCCATGATCACAATGCTTTTTACATTATTGAAAGTTCTTGTAAAAACATTAAAGTGTACAGGCTAAATATTTTAAAAAAAATACACTGACACATTACATAATACACAAATGCTGCAGTTTTTTTTTGTTTTTTTTTACATTTCATGGACACGTCATACAAAGTCAATTTCCTGGAATCGATTCAAGCCAAACTTTCTTCATTGTCACCAATAAATACAAACTGTAATAATACATACAAAAATAAAGTTACCATGGTAACATGTTTTTTATTTTTTTTATTTAATGCAGTCATCTGATATCTGATCCCTGGTGAAGGACTGATTAGTAGAAAAGTACAATGAAAGTTTGTAGAAAACAGGGTTTCAAACTTGTATACGAGATTCTTCGAATCGACTAACCAACTGTAAAAAAAGACAGACATGCGTGATGGTAGAGAGACATGCTAGAAGAATGATCACAACAAAGAAATATTTATTATGATAGTACAATCTCCTTTAATCCTAGTGTATAATAATATGCATGGAAATACAGATTTTTCACCACCAGAGAAGAAATTGCTCCTGGCACTAATAATACTGATCATTTCATTAGATAGAGATGCACTACATGTATAATTTGTATTTAGATGCACAAGCACTGTAGACAGCTAAACTGGTACAACTGAGAAACAATGGGCATATTTCAGGATAACTATATAACTTAAATAATTTATCAAGTCTGTAACTAGATTGCTGTGAAGTAGAACGGTAAAGAGTAGTCCCTCAACAAATTGAGGTAATTTGACAGAAATCACAATCTTGATGATGTTTATTTATGTTTATAATTGTATTACATGTAGTCTAAAAGTCAAATGAAATTTGTCAATATAACTGCCCTTGTTTTCATTCATCAATACCAATTTTACATTGCAGCAACAGAAGACAGGAGTTATTGTAAAAGTTTCAAAAGTATGCAAATGCAGAGAAAAATCAAAGAAAAGCTTAGCCTTTCAAACAAGACGTTTGTGACTAATATTGGTCTGCTATTTGAGATGCACAACATGAAAATAAGGTGAACCATGGTGTTGAAGTTTATGAAAATAAATTTGATTGTACATCTGTGGTTTACAGTCTGATTTATTCTAGTGCACCTCTCCCACATATTCAATTTAAATTTGATTTTTTGAGATATCAGAAATTGCCTCATAAAAATTAAATAATCAATATGTAAGGTTTTCAACATTAAAAAACTAATCACAACTGGATTGCCCCAGACTGAAAGCATTTATGTATCAAATTTCAATGAAATGTGATGATTATGCAAATTTAAATAATTGCACAAATTTCAGACAAAAAAACTAATCAGGTCTTCAACATTGTCCCATGCACTTATATACTAAGTCTTATTGATATACAATAAATGTTTTTATGAGATACAAACTGATTGTTACATTATGAAATAATTTGGGTAATTATTAAGCAAATTAGGTAATTGATATGCTTGAATTTCAACCCAAAACTAATCAAGTGTGTACTGTCCAGAGCACCTATGTACTAAGTTTCATAAGAATGTGATAATTAATTCTTGAAAAATCATTATGCAAATTACGTAATAAATATAAATATATTTAAACCTAAAACTTATTAGATTGTCACATTTTCTTAGAGCATAAGATGATTTGTAGATATCAATCAATGAAAAATGACTAATTATTACGGAAATTAATATGTGCGGATTTTAACATAAAACTAATCAGGTTCACACAATGTCACAAGACATCTATGAACCAAGTTTCATTGAAAAGTGACGATTAGTACTTGAGATAAGGATAGAATGCCGAAAATTTATGAATTATAATGCAAATTAGTTAATTAATACGAATAAATTTTAACCCACAACAGATTAGGTTTGTGCTAGATCATCTATGTACTAAGTTCTTTTGAAATGTGATGATATCAGTGGAAAAGCAAAAAAATTTACTATTATGCAAATTGGGTAATTAATATGTATGGGGATTTTCACCCATAGGTCTGTATATTGTCTCAGAGCACCTATTTACCAAATTTCATTGAAATCTCAACAGGTCTTGAAGTTGAGATATTTGTGGAACATACATACACATATAGACAGACATGAGAGAGTGAGAGAGTGAGATAACTGCTGGCTTTCTTGCAGTAACTGGATTCACAAAGCAATACTCACTGAATTAATGCCCGGTAAACTTAGTATATGACCCAACACTGGCACTCTTCTTAGGAAATTAATAATTACTGGAAAAAAGCCTCTGGAATAATCAAAGAGAAAAAAATGTTACAGTACAAGGAGATGAAGAAGAAAGATATCTGCTAGAATGTTTAGATTTTACATATGAGAGAATATTGCCATTAAAATGAAGATGTTGGTGCACAGAATATCATCAATGAAATATATCTCCAAGTTACCATACTTACTTAAATAGTAGAAAAAATCCATATGTTTCAATTATCATTCCAACAAGTGGCCATCCAACTAACACAATAAGTATGCCACCAAAGAAAAACGCACTGCCTTTGATTTTGTGTGATTGAAAAAAAAATCTAAATGTTCTTTCTAGACCAATTATGAAACCCAATCCACCTAAAAATAGTATCTGAAAATAAAAAAAATATATAAAAAACATGTATAAAAACTTTCTTCCACAGACTTTGTCTATAAAATACAAACAGTAATTGAATTTTTCAATGTCAAAATGCACATCTACGATTAAAGTACCACAAAGTATTGGGTGGAGCTGGCATTCAAATTCTGTGTAAACAAACTAAGTATTAAACACGCGTTGTTTAACATGGTCCCATATTAAACACAATGTGCATTGACAGTTGTTGTCGTACAGCATGCATTTGAATTCTGTATCAACAATATTTCACATTAGACCCATATTGAACTTCTGTCATCAACGCTAATAAAAATACAATCTCACAAATTGAATATTATGAAAAGCATACATATACTTTTGGTGTATATCTCTTTTTTTTCTCTTCAATTTACAGACACTGTTTGGCATGTGTTTTGTAATACAATAAAAATAATCTTTATTGAGAATTGCAATATAGCATTCATACTAAAACATTCATGAAAAATCCAACATAGCCATATTTAACCCTGCATTTTTGAAAAAAATGCATACTGTAAAAAAGTTTATTTTAGCTGGATTTAATTTTCACTGAAAGACTTTTTTGGTGTTTTGCATGGAATTTATTTTCACTGATTTTTTGACAAGTTGAATGTAAAATATAGGAAAAAAGGTATATTCGCTGGATTTTATTTTCACTTAATCATTCCTTCAGCGAAAATTAATTCCAAGCAAAAATAAATTATTTTACAGAAATAAGTGGTGTTAAGAAGAGATAGAGTGAATAGAAATTTGTTCACATGACCTTGAAGTAAAAATCAATTTCATTATCTGTCAAAAACATTATGGGAAACCTGCTTTGATTTCAAACTGAACCTGTTTTAAATTTCACAAAAATGGTAGCAGTTTTGGGGAAACAAATAAAATACGTTTTTATAGAAACAAATCTGGTTATATTCCATCATTTTTTAGAATCTTTTGAAATATTTTAAAAGAGTTTGCTTCAGGAAAATGTTCCTAAAGTTGAAATTGAGTGAGTGCATTTTACGATCATTTTCTCCTTGTTCAAAACTATTGTTTATAAAGTCCAAATGTACTGGTAAGTTTATTTTTTATTTTTAATAAATACTTGATGCAATCCTGACTTTAAATACTTACATTTCCAATTGCAAGAAGTCCCTTGTCGAAGAAAAACAAAACTCCAAGAAATAGAAAAAATACACCAAAGCCTGTTAGGCCTACACCAATTTCTGTGAAAGAGGAACACATAATTATATATTATTCCCTAATATTTATTTGTCTTCGTTCACTGGGGAAAATAGGAGTGAAAATCACCATGAGTCAAATAAAATAATAAGGGAATACATTGTAACATTCTTATCACCTGTAGATTTTTCATATTTATGTTGAGCTTCCTTCAACTGAATTATGATTGTTTCATTTATTATCAGATAACATTTATTGGGACTTGAGACCAACGCCAATTATTGCGTGATAATCAGGCTTGAATGGGGTTGTTTGTCTAAATAATAGGATTAACTGTGGGTTGCCTCTTATTGCACACATCCCCAATCTTGCCCTATTGTCACACAATATAGGTTACACACTGTGCTTTATTCTCTAATTATCTAAATAAACAACATCTAAATACATTGCATAATGGTACATTTACAATTTAATCAAACAAAATTCCTAACCATTAAGTTATTGCGTCATGGCGGAGGTGCACTTATATAGCAAATATGGTGTTATCTGATATACTACGGTACTATAGATAAGACTACAAGTACAAGCTGTTCTTCTTAATATAGGGGTTAGGGATTTCTACTGAAAAGGGAGTTTGAAACTCTTCCGTAGAATCTCGAACGGAACTCAATTACAAGTTACTGAATATAGCGTATTCACTGATATCTAATGTATTCACAGACTGAGACTGGGAGAGTGCAACGTGTTCCATTATGACTATGGCTGGGTTTGAGACGTGAATCATACCTGGACAATGCCAGATTACAGTCGATTGGCTGTCGTTGCAATTCACAGTAAAATTATTGCTTACACATTTTCACGGCAGTCTGTGAATGTTATAACCTACTTACTCTGGTAGTCTGTGACTTCGAACATTTCCAATGGAATAAACGATTATTTTTTGTCATAAAAATCTCACATCATCTTGCATTGACAACAGCGCCAGCCACGTCCTGAACGGAAGTTCATTCGACTCGTACACTATATAAGGGGGTACGGAGCTTAATAAATACTAACGCGATAATGTCGGATTATTTTAATTTCTCTGAACGAGTTCTTTCTTCTAAGTAGATAATTTCATATGTCATTTTAGTGGCAATACGGTTTGACATGTTTGTGAAATCGATTTTACAACACATCGTTTACTGAAAAATGTTCCTTACACTGCGCATACCTGCAAGCAACATGGACGCATCTTACAGTCTCTCAAAATAAAAGACGTATTGTGATTGGTCGGGATGAATATCTCTTTCGCACAACGCCCAATGATATCAATGCAATCATTTATTGATTGTAAGAACAAGATGCGCAAGGCGTCTTCTTTTATACTTGGTATATGACATGTACGCTTTTGATGCGCTGCAATAGACAGTACGCAAGAAACGCAAGTTCGTTCCTAGGCGACAGGTAGGTACCCAGAAACATTGTTCAAACATGCACACTTTCACCGTTGACGTACTCGATAAAGATCTCTAGCCATGGTCAGTGTTTTGATCACTGTCTTCAGATCTCGATTCAAGATTTGTTTTCCTTACGTACATACGTATAAACGTATTGCGTGGAGTGATTGACATTCAGTGTATGTTGTGATCCACCATATTAAATTACACCCATTCAGATTTAAGATTGAGAGTTTGAACTTGGTCTTGTTCGTGCTGCAACATGAATGTGATTGTTTTTATTATTCGGGTATGGGGCTCCCCACCATTCTTATTTACGACTGCGTGTTAACGTGCATGTCATTATTCGCAGATGTTATTCATACATTTAATGTATCTGGCCCCAAAAGTGGGAGACAGTTTCTTTGACCACTCCTGTATGGCATACGAGTATACAATTTAACAATCTTGAATATAAAACCATGGTGGGGTGGGGGATTGGGGGTGGCTGGATTATGTGCCTTAGATTGTGTGGTAATCATGGAAAACAACTCATTTTATCTCCATTCACCAGGAAGATTAGTCAAACAAAAATCAATATAAAATATCTATTTTTATTGCACAATAATTTTATTGTCTAAATTAAATAGACCACTGTATCTAAATGTTGGTTTTTAAAATTGTAGATTTTGAACACCATGGTACAACAGTTTTTTACTATAATTTAATGAACCAAATGGACATTAAATCTCATTGGTTACATGTCTAGATATAATAGCAGGTTTAGTTTGTGAAAGGTGACATTCAATGGGTTCAGTAGCTATTAAAATTAACAGCTCAACAAATTACAAACAACATCCATTAAAGTATGAGAAAATATCTGTTTACACTTTTTATTTGTTCCTCATTGCTGTATCTTTAGCAATACTTGAACACTCATTTGTATATTTACAAATTATATTTAACAATGATCTGTATATATGATTTGATCTCAATTTTCAGTGCCTGTGAAAAGCTAGCCCAAAATCACTTATTGGTATGCAAATATGATCATAATTTATATATCTGGCCGCAAAATAAATATTTTAACCAACAAATTTGGGTTTCATAGTTGCTGTCTACTATCAGTCATTTACTGGATTTCACAATGAGGCATCTCATTAGCCTTCATTTGCTTACTATACAGGTATTGCCCTGGTGACGTCACCAGAACACAATATACACATGGTAGTGGGACTTTGACATGGTTCTCGAGAACACTTCAGGTTCCGATTTATTGTCTAGTGACTTTTAAAAAATCTAAAAATAAACTTTCATGACTTTTTTTCTCCACAAATTTTGGACGACAGATATTATGCAGTATTATTATCGGTGATCACTGGTACCTCCATGAATACATTTAATAGACCCGTGATGATTCATTCCACCAAAATGTTAACCTAAATTAATTTCCCCATGGCATGAACGCAACTACAAATGTTGGGTAGTAATAATAATTATTGGCATCGGTATCATTGGTACCATATTTGAGCACATTCTATGACCTGATACGTGAATGCATGTTTTTCACTGTTTAATCACTTGACCCTGTATCATATTTTCGTTGCCTAATATCATATACTTGTTTCATAAAATTAGAAAACATGACTACTCATTTTCTAATTGCAAATGTGGCATTTGTTTGGGTTGCTTCCATTGATATAGTCTAATATTGAAATGCGCATCCATGGTAGATGGAAATTCAGGGCGATTTGTTTGAAATGTTACAACTTACTGGACTGGAATTTTGTAATTAGTTTTCAATTTCACTCTATAATTAACGCTACTTGGTAAGCGATGATTGTGTTAGTGCTTGCTTATAAGAATACTCACTGACAGTGCATAGGTGTGCAGTATAATGCCTCCAGAAGACCAATTGTTTAGTGATGTTTTGCACCCAGGAAGTAAAATAAAATGACAGACATTTACTCCATATTCAATTGATCTTCCCAATTCCCAAACAACAAAATCATGATTTCAATGGTATACTAGTAAGTCCCACATTTATAAAAGGAATAACTTTACAACTGAGTTTTAACAGTATGCAGTGTACGGCACTTGCATGGCTTCCCTCTTTTGATTATGTTTGGCAGTGTAGTTTCTTTTGGGGAGAAGGCGGACAGCCAAGAACTGTTGGCAGGTAGGGACGTAGCCACAACTCAGAATCTTTTTTCAATTTTACTCTTTTTGACTCCCATGTGCGAAGTCAAATTCTATTTTGTCCAGCGACAGTGTACAAACGTGCGCCGCTGACGATCACGGTGACACGTTACACCAGAACGAACATATTTCGCATCTAACTCAACCCCATGCAACAAAAATTGATAGTATGTGTTCTATATGGTCCATTCCTCCTCGACGAACAAGTACATAAGTGAAAATTTAGTAAAAGACGAGAAAACTGCATAAGAAATTTGCCTTATTTACACGTATCGACAATGCAAGCTGCCATGCGACTTCCCCTTCTGACGTCACAAGGGGAATTTCTGTATGCAAATAAGAAGCTAATGAGGAGCCTCATTTTAAAATACACAAAAATAAAGCTGCTGCAGATTGAGTATAAAACACATTTTTTCACTTAAAAAAGTAATTCATGCTTAGAAACATTAAAAAATAATAATATTTATGTATCAATGGATAATTTTAGGCATGAAAATAGCAGCCATTTCACAGGCACTTTAAATAAAGTACCAGTAGGTGCTGACAAATGGGTCTGAATTTATCACTGAATGACTAAAAAATTACAAGGTAGGAAAGCTTTGCAGACACCAGATTGATAAAAACTTAAAACCAAATGCTCCAATCAACCCTGGACATTCATGAAAATAATCAGTGAGTGGACACCAAGAATTATGTCATCACATCCAATGTGGCTGCATATGTGGAGTTTCTTACAAAAGAAATAAAAGTGCCATAGTTAGCCACCGTCCCTCAACACACAGTGATTTAGCATGTTAATGAGTAAATAAACTGGGGTTGACTGAACCAGTGCATTCCCCATCACTGAATCACTTGTAACCTGAACCTGCAACCGGAACCTATAACCTGTGTTTTGTACCTGCCGTGGTGACTTTGGTCATTCCTATTCATTTTCCAAGACTTTACCTTTGCTCAAGTTTTGAGCTGCCTGAGTCAAGGATACAAGAGCCATTGTTTTTAAATTTAAAATATTAGCAGATTAGATTATGAAAATCATTTCGTGTGTAAAATAAACAATTGTAATGAGTTCAGTTTCATTTTTCAGAGCATTGGTAATGATTAAATGAAAATTACTACATAAAATTTATTTATAGATCTGCCTGCAAATATTTTCGAAGAATATTTGCTAAATGCAAATATGTGAAATGTTTTAGTTTTATTTTGGCGTAAATGCAAGCAGTTACTCGCAAATTCTCAGGCTGAAATAGGCTTTATGCCATTTTAGTGAATTTGGCTTCAGATTCTGGCAATTACTTTTTAAAATAATTTAAAATTTGCCTAATATCTACCAGAAGGCACATAGCCTTGTTTTTCGAAAATATCCTTTGATTTAAAAAAAAACAGTTTTTTGAAACGGAAAACTCAGGCATATAAACTTCAGCTAAGCATGAAGGTATAATAGAATTCTGTTATACCTCCACAGGTGAGCCTTTCGGAGCCAAAGAAAACATTTGTTGTAATCAGCATAATCCCACAAATAAACATCCTGTGTATGCTCCAGTCTGTGACCAGATCACACTCGACCGATACTGTAAAACCAAAAAATATTTTCATTGTTTTGGTGTTTTGAGCAATTTCACTGGGTTTTAAGTTCACAGACTAGGGAGGAAAACAATGAGTTCTATTGTTATTCTACAAATTCACATCGATTTAATTTAGCGAATTTCACTTATCAGTAAGAATAGAAAAATTAAAAACCAGCGAATAATTAACGTGTTTACAGTAGTTCACTTTGCATACAACCTGTCATTAATGTTGTTCTTACTATATTACTGTAGCCTTTTTTTTCTTCACTATTTGGAATGAGGTAAAATATTAACTCATTTGTGTTTAGGCCAAGTAATATTATTTACTTGTGCTGTGTGACAAGGTTATTTTGCATTGAATATGGAATTTCTGAAAGTTTTTCATGATACTATTGCAAATATAGATTGTCATTCCTTGAAGTTATTGAGTCATGTGATTAAGAGTTCCTTTAAATGCAAAACATTGGCATCATGAGTCACTATAGTCTAGCATTGTTATTATAGGAAGGATTTCTCAAAGTTTACAATCAACAAACAATTATGTTTTCATCATTTATCGTTAGTTGAGGGATTTTCAACAGGGAGACGTGCTAAAGATGGTAGAATTTGAATGATCCAAAGTTGACCCATCATGTTGAACCCATATGTTGCCAAATATTCTGTTCTTTTCTCCTAATATTTTGTCTCACAATTTCATCATTATGAAATGAACAAGCCGATTGTCTATTTCACCTTACTTCAGCACCTGCACGTACCATACTGAAAAATTGGGGCTAAAACACTAATTAAACGTCATGATCATTACCATATGCTAATCGTCACTCAAAATATTCATTACATATGCCAGTTGTCTGTTAAATACTTTACTGTGACTGCAAGAAGTATAGAACAGCAGTATGAGACACTGTTTTGCTTAAGGTCACCATTTCTTCCTGTGGCAACACTTTGTGCAGCTATTTTAAATTTGTTAGCAAAACAGTGTCTGCAATATTGCTGTTCCATTCTTTCTTGCGGTCACGGTAAATCTCACTTGAGATTGAACAACATATGGTGGGTGTGTCTCTTTGTCCACTAAATTAGAAGAAGTTTGCAGCCATACAGCATCATTGAATATGCCTTTCACCAACATTCTTAGGGAATTGTGAGTCTATGTTAGTCCTTTTTTGCTTTTTGTTGAACCCATACGAACAAACTACTATAATTTCTGTATGTGCATGCATACTCCACATTGCTGATCATGTTCAAACTTCAATTTTTTGCGATCTGATATTATTTTGTGAACACAAAATTTCAGGAAAAATGCTGACTTACCATGTCGTAGGACCTTGGAGAAATTTTCACAACTACAGAATGTATACCTCTCACAAAACTGAAGTTTACGTATGCATTAATTGTACTGTAATTGGGATACATATGCATGTGCATTCTTGTAATCTGATTTAAAATGGCTGAATGGCGACCATATTAGTGCTGAAAATTAATCAAAATTAAGCATTTCTGTCATTCTGAAACCAATTTTTGTACTTTGGTCAAACTTGATGAACTTATTTTTTTTCACATCAGATTCAAAATGGCCGACTGGTGATAATTTGTTTTCAATGAATGCTGTTTGGGTCTCATAACTCGGACATATCTTGGTCATAGACATACCTCTCTCATTCATGTAAGCATATACATTACTAATAGAGCAAACCAGTACATGTATCTGTGTATATGATGTGAACCAGCAGCTGGTGTTTTCTGTGTCATCTATGAGCCTGTGTGTATTTAGGCATTAATATAACTGACAGCTAGTTTGAAACAACACATCATCAACACAGATCTGCTAATTAATTATTATATGTATATATGAAATTGGTTGATATTATATACATATTTAATGTACACCAAGGAATTCCAGCAAATACCTCTTTAAAGCCACCATTTGTGCTGTTTATACTAAAACAAACACTCAATTCTGATTCAAAACTCTAAATTAGCTTTAAATCTATTCGATAAATTGGGTGTGAAGTATGGGGAGAGGAAGTTGTTAAAAATAGAGATGTTATTGAAAATGTTAACTATTCTTTTTGCAGATTACCTTTGGGGGTTAAAAAGAATGCTATTAAGCCTACAATTTTAAGGGAATTGGGAAGATACCCTCTGGTCATAAAAATTAATTAACAAATAATTAAATTCTGGTTCAGATCAAAACTCCCAGAGACGCCCAAGTTAATAAAAAGCACCTTTGATGAGGTCAATATAATAAAGACTGGGTGGACGAAAAATGTTGACAAAATAATCAGTGATAACAATCTTGATAAAGCAATCAAACAACAAATAAAATAGGAGAAACAGCTCCAAACCATGACAATATCTGTTTTGCTGAAAGAGAATTACATAATAAAATGGAAAGAAGCTCTATTTGATGACAACAGAGCAGAATCTCTGATCATAAACTTCATATTGAAACTGGCAGGCATTGCAAAACTCCAAGGAATGAAAGAGCCTGTGACAACAAGCAGATTGAAGATGAGGTACATTTCCTTATGGACTGCAGTCTGTATAATACACACAGAATTGAATTATTCAACTACTGTAAGGAAATTATACAAAAGTTTAGCAAATTAAATGAACCAGAAAAATTCAAAGAAATTATGGAAAATTGTACAGGAATCAGAACTGCACAATATATACAAAAATGTATGAGATATGAGCAGCTCCACCAAAATTAAAATTAAAACTATTCTTTTCGCCATAGTTATTGTATCGTATTGTATTGTATTGTACAAGTATATTGTGATTCTTTATGTGTTTGTTATTTAGCTTTATTTAGCATTCTGTTTAGTTTGTTCAACTTTACTGCATTTTAGTTTAGTTTATTTGAGTATATTTTTATACGACTATAGAACAACTCACTGTAGTTTGTTTTTTAATGTTGAATAAATATTATGATTATTATAACATTATTGCAGCTGGTTGGAAAATGAGTAACAAATATATATATAAATCTAGAGATAATATTAACAAATTACCAATAAGCATTCAGATAATTTTTTATTTGAACACTATGATGATAAGTATCCAATAATCTAATAATCTAGATAAAAATAATATCAGAAGATGGAATAGTGACTTACTTGTACTGGAAAATAAAGAACAAATAATCAGAGAATAATTTGCTGGTGTGTGAAACGTATTATGTGAGTACCTGTTTACTGTTATTCATAGGACCACTATGTACATACCATTGGCCAGCACAACCGCAAATATGATCAATCTCAGACGACTAAAAGAATAGATTAGCAACCACACGACTATAATTTTAGGTTTGTATTAAGCCTACAGCATGACATTCCTGGTAATTTATTGACACAAGCCTACCTGATGATATCCAAATGTACTTACAATGTATTTGCTGAATTGAGATTACGTGACCGTGAGCACTGTTCATAGTGATTGTGGGTACCCGATACATTGTATATGATCCTGGTACAAGTACATTTACAAATAGCTTAAACATCACAAGTACAAGGTATTTATATAAAGGGTTAGTGGAAGCCCATCCATTAGTGACTAGTAAATGGTTAGTGGAAGCCCAGCCATTAGTGACTAGTAAATGGTTAGTGGAAGCCCAGCCATTAGTGACTGGTGAAGGAATAGTGGAAGCCCAGCCATTGGTGACTGGTGAAGAAATAGTGGAAGCCCAGCCATTAGTGACTAGTAAATGG